TGCAATGCTAATTACTGTAGGTTTACCCAGGTATTATTGGGTTTAATTTATTTATTATTTTTTCTGGGTATCCAATGGGTTACCCATGGGTATAATTTCATACCCATATCCTACCCATGCATTTTGCAGGTATGGATACCCATTACCCACGGGTATGAAGTGGTGGAAACTATCACCCATGCCCACTGTTTTCGGGTAGGGTACCTGCGGGTACCCATACCCATGGGCAAAACTGCCATCCCTAGCTAGTAGTTGTCAGTCTGGGTGGGATCTGAGTCTTCCATCTGCATGTCCTCATAGCCCCCTCCTCCTCCCTCGCCTCCATCATGGATGATATCCAGCATCTTCCTGTCCGCGTTGTACGCTGGCTCCCCCGCTCTCGGCATTGCAGCAAATAGCGTGCGGGCAGCCATCTGCTCTCCGCCCGTCGTCCTCGCCCAGACGAGCGACGACGAAGAATACTTAGAGAGGACTGGCGCCGCATTAACATCGACAATGTAAGGAACCGTACAGGTGTGGGTTGCGAGCTTCTTGGCGGCGTAGTAGTACAGAGCCTTGTAAGGCTCCAGCCACGGCGTCGTCTGTACCATAGGCACGCCCGTCTGGTGGCGTCCACCATAGCCTCGCCGACCGCCTCGTCCACCACGCCCTCCATGCCCATCGCCACCACCAGGCCCACCGGCGGCCAACCGCTTCTTTAGCTTCTCCTTTGTGGCATTCACTTTGACGCGGCGATTTTGCGGTATCTCTGAGCTGATCTTCCGAGCGAGCATGATACTCGAATCCTAAGGCACCTCCGCCGGCTCCATCTCCGACAGGTTCTTCGATGGTTCCATGCATCGGCGGTGGAGGGAAGGAGAGGGCGGGAGAAAAGAGCGGCGGGGAGTGAAAGAAGAGAGTGGGGGATTTTGGCGCAGAAACAGTGTGGGATGCCACAAAAGCGCGGGTTCAACCTTCCTTTTGGGTGGGCCACGGGGCTGAGAGCGATGTTTCGCATGTCCGGACTCCCGCAAACCTCGCCCACATTTGTCCCCAGTTTGCAGGAGAAATCGTGTTCGGACCGCCCAACAGACCGATACAGGACTCCGTTGGATGGCTTCCTTGGTCCGAATAGCGCCATCCGGACGGTTGCGGGAGATTTGTAGGTTGGTGTTGGAGATGCCCTAATAGCGATCACACCCGTCCCGTATCGCGCACAATACGATCGCTTGCGTCGGATACAACGGCAGATATAGGCCGACCCATCATTATAGCGCCAGTCGCGCTCGCGATGAACTCCTGTAGCGCGTGTTTTGAAAATTTTGTATGGCTTTTGCATTTTTCACATCAGGCATTTTCTTCACGCACAAGGATAAATAAAAAATGGTCCCGCAAATAAAAAAACAGTTCATAAATTCACAAAAAAGTCTTCAAAAATTTGGCAATTTTTCAACAAGTTTCCAAAAGCTTCACAGATTTAAAAAATGTTGTGAATTTTAAAAACTATTCCAATTTTTTAAGTGTGAATCTGTAAAAAAATTGAAAATTATTTAGTGAACGGGAATCGAAAAATGTTTGCGAATTCGAAAATTGTTCAGTGAGCAAGAGAAATGTTCGGTGAAAATATTCACGAATGAATATGAAAGTTATTCATGAATTTGAAAATATGTTGGTGAATTCGAAAATTGTGCATGAATTTGAAAATCATTCATGTGTTTCCAAAAACATTCATGAATTTGAAATTTTGTTCGGTGAACAAGATTTTAAAAATACTTAGGATTTTGGAAATCTGTTCATGAATTAAAAAAAATGTCTTGAATTCAAAAATATTCATGCATTCACAAAAATTACGTATTTGAAAAAATATTTGTGAATTGAAAAAATGTTTGTGTATTTTGAAAACCAAAAAATAAAAAATATAGAAGAAAAAAAACCAGAAAACCAACTCAAGAAAACCCTCTAGAACCTTACAAAAAACGAACGGAAGGTTCCGACTGGTTCCCGAAACCAAGGCGAATCGGTTCCTGGTTCTAGACATGAACGGTTGCAGTTTGCCTAAAAAAAGATCTTGTGTAATGAAAAAACGATTGTTATTCTTATTGGGCCGCAGCTGATGTCGGACCGCCTGTAGGCGAGCGCAAGGCGATACATATCATTTCGCTGAATTTTGTACTTGCGCACTGGGTTGAGATTCAAGATGGCAATGGCCCCGAAACCCGTGTCCCCGCGGGTTTTTATCCTATTAGGAACGGGATGAGCGACTTTCTATCCCCGCAGGCCTGCTGGTAGGTACATTATTAAATTCGACATGTTTCGCGGGTTTAAACCCGTTTGAGTACTACCCGAACCCGAAACCTGACAAAACCCGTCAAAATACATTATTCAGCACGCACCGATTCATATCGACTCAAGTGGCCCAAAGCCACAGTGCCCGAGGAGCCGAGCCCCACAGTATCGAGGCCCTGGAGTACAAACCAACCCCTCACTCGGTCGCTGCAGTGTTGCTCGCTCTTTAGTACTCTCTCTCTCTCTCCCGCACAACACGACACCTAAACCTAAACCTAGGTCACCCAGCCGTCGCCTGCTGCTGTAATATGCTCCTGTTTTTCTTCCAAATGTTGCTGTTTTCATTGACTGCTTATGGGGACGGGTTCCCCGTGGGTTTTGAAAACCCGATGGGTTTAGGGTACGGGCAAAAATTTAACCCCGCGCACATTGATGGGGACAGGGACGGATTTGCGATTTTCTCGTGGGAATGAGTTTGGGCAAGCAAAATCTGGTGGGTTTCGTCCCTGTTACCAGCTTGAGTTGAGACAGTCAATTTTATGGCAGAGGTCAAAGAATTTTTTTTATTACTCCCACCTTACAGTGTTTGTTGAAGTTACGATCGGCCTTTATAACTGAGCATCGTCCGGCAGTGCTTAATCGGCGCTTCACGCGCCATTACTAAACCTGGTGCTGCAGCCGCTTGCGTGGACTGGCCCAACAAGCCCACGGATCACTCGCTCGCGCATGCAACCAATTTACCTAAAAAAAAGTTCCCTCGCTTTGTATTCCAAAACAAATCATCATTATACACGTCACAATGCTGAGGCGAGTAGCACATCAAGCCTAAAAGAAAAAGAAAAAGAAACAAATGCCAACAGCGGCAGCTCGACAAAGCGCGGAAGACCCGCGACCGTTGCGCCCTCAGGAAGAACCACCACAGCCCGAAGCTCCGATCTACTGCGTACTAAGCAACACCTTCAAAAAGGAATGCGACACCGACGACGCTGCTGGCCGGACGAATCCTAGGGTTTCCCCCAGTACGCGGAGAGAGGTGGGGGATGGTAACTACCGACACCCTCCAAGAAGGGAAAGTGGCACCCGCCGGTGTCACCGCATCGGAGCCGGACGGACCGACAAGGATTTCTCCCGCACATCAAACCCCACCGCCCAACCGGAGCCGACCAGCCAAACCACCGCCCAACACCATGCGCCATCATGGTTGCGCCGCCACCCACGCCGTCTCACTGCGAGCACCAACACGAGGCCAGGAAGACCGGAGAGAAGAGCCAAGCGATGGGAGCAGCAACACCAAGGCTGACGGGAGGGAACCACCTGCACCACCGTCGTGCGAGAGGCCCGCGCCTTCGGCACCGTCGCGGTAGCCGTCCGAACACGGTAGTGTGGCATACCAGGCCACCCCTAGCCCGACCAGGCCCGAAACGGGCCTGCTAAGCCCCGCCAGGCACGCTGTAGCAGGCTGGCATCGGCGCCGCCAGCACCCCGCCGTTCGTCGCTGCTCCCCTGCCTCCCGGGAGTCACGCTGCAGACCTGCCCCGATGCAGATCTGGGCCGAGCACCGTCGCCAGGTCGCGCCGCTGTGCCACCCAGCCGCCCAGCCACCCGCCCACGCCGCATCGGGGAGCCTCGCCGCCAGCCAGACCGCCGCCGCCTAGGTGCGCCCTCGGTGCAGCTCCGCCCCACGCCATAAAGCCACCGGGAGGAAAAGGTCAGGGGGCCGCGGGCGCCAGCGACGGCTGCGGGGAGGAAGGGGGGAGGGGGGCTGGAGGAGGAAGAGGTCGCCGCGACCACGTCGCCCCGTCACGGTCGCGAGAGGAGAGGAGAGACAAACAGAGTTTTTGTTCGCATGCAACCAATTTCGTTCGCTCGCTTGCTCACGCAACCGGTTTTTGTTCGCTCCATTAACTATTGGTGGTCAACTGTTAACCAATTTGACCAGTCGACTTTTGAAAAAAATCATGAATCTAGAAAAAGTTCATGAATTTGAAAATAGTTTATGAAATTGAAAAGGTTCATAATTTGAGAAAGGTTAATGAGTACGAAAATGTCTACGGATTTTAAAATGTTAGTGAACTTGATTTTTTTTGCAAATTTGAAAAAAGTTTGTGAATGAATTTAAAAAGTTACACTAATCTGAAAAGTGTTCACAAATTTGAATCAAGTTCAAGAATTTCGAAAAGAAGGTTCACGAATTTGAAAAAAAAAAGTTATTTTGAAAAAGTTGCAATTTTTTTTAAAAAAAGGCAATTGAACAAATGTTCAGCAAAACGAGGGACGCCTGGTCCCGTTGACGATGCGCCAGGCCGTGGACCGTTGCAAAACGAGGACGCTGCTGTTTTGGCAGTTGATTTTCTCGGTCGCCCTGGCTTTGATCACCAATGCAAAGTCAGCCCTCTCCGGCCACAGCGCTGGTTTTTTACTCCCCCTCGCCTACCGTCGACCTGTAGCCCCTTGATCACTTCACAACGTTTTCCAGATACCACATTGGCCCAATTTTGAAACCAGCGGACACGCGCGCAGAGCCTTCATTTCGGCCGCCTTCTCCAAGAAAAAACAATCCATCTTCTATCCCCGCTTGCACTGCAAGCTGGCCTTAATTACTCGCCGATGACTCCAGCACCAGCAGTATATATACAGGTCTCAGCCTCACCTTCGTTCCTCACCAAAATCTAGCAACGAACTGCAAAGCAGAAACAGCGACAAAGATCCATCTTTCTCTTCTTCTAGCGTCAAGGATGGCTACCGCCGGGAAGGTGATCAAGTGCAAAGGTTTGTTTCTGCGATAGCATGCAGTTAGTTTCATCGGATTTTGGTTGATGTTTCGAGGATGGAGATCTCAGTTGCATGGTTGATTGCTTGCAGCGGCGGTGGCATGGGAGGCCGGGAAGCCGCTGTCGATCGAGGAGGTGGAGGTGGCGCCGCCGCAGGCCATGGAGGTGCGCGTCAAGATCCTCTACACCGCCCTCTGCCACACTGACGTCTACTTCTGGGAAGCCAAGGTATCCCACTTGGGTTTGTGTTTTCCTATTGGGTATATTGTGATGTATCAGTGGGCAGTGGCTAATTAAATTTTGTGATGTTCTGCTTGGATTTGTGCAGGGCCAAACTCCAGTTTTCCCTAGGATCTTGGGCCATGAAGCTGGAGGGTATTTTTTTTTTCTTGAAAAGAAGGAACACTCCGGCCTCTGCATCAATCGATGCATACAATCATATTATTAAACAAAAATGTAACAAAGTCATAAGGTCCAAAGATGCTCATAAACTGAGCAGTAGTCGAAAGTAAATAAATCTGGAAAGCGCCACACCTGGCGATATAAGACTGAAAAGTGTCACATCCGGTGATATAAAAATAAGCTACGATGCCTACACATCTAGCCTATTATTAGCTCGCCACCCAAATTGGCTGCTCACAATGGTTGCACCCAATAACCAAAGGCTTCCTGAAATCCACATGAGTTAGTAAAGACCATATACGGATCCAAGCTGTAGCTCTGTAGATAATCTGCAAATAATTAGTGAATTGTGTCCCATTAAAAATCATATAATTTCTAGTGTTTCATATAGCCCAAAATAATGCACATAATCCTATCCGAATATGTTTAGCTAAGTGTACGTCCACTCCATTAAGCCACGTCCCAAATAACGTGTTTATGCTTCTCGGAGGTTGAACATTAAAGGCTATATAAATTGATCACCATAATAATTGTGAGGACATTCGAGAAAGAGGTGTTTAATCGTTTCTTTTTTATCACAAAAACAACACCTAGAGTTACCAACCCAATTCCTTTTTGCCAAGTTATCTTTGGTTAGAATAATCTCTTTATGGACAAACCACGTAAATATTTTAATACGAAGCGGAACTTTAATCCTCCAAATATGCAATGACCTCGACAATGGCCCGGAGTCATATCAATTAGGTCAGAATACATGGATTTCACTGAGAAGATTCCATTCATAGTTAACTTCCAGCGAATTGTATTCGCCTGATCAGATAGGTGAACCTGCATCAACCTACGAATCAGGTGCAACCAAGCATTCCAACGTTCCCATACTAGGGATCTCCTAAATTGGATATTAAGATGTATCGAATTTAATACTGCGGCAACATAATCCCTCTTACGTTGCACAATATCGAGTTTATGTTTTAAATTGCTTATATATTTTAGGATATTTGATGTTTTTGAGTGATTATTTTTGCATTAGATTCAAAATTTTGTCTAGTTTCTGTTTGTGCCATTAGTTTTCAAATTTGAATGATTTAAATATGTATTTGTTCAAATTTGCTTCAAACCCTAGATTATGAATAATTTGAGTTTAAAAATAGTTTTAATTTAATTCTTTTTGCTCCTATTCACATGTCAGATTGTTGTCACAGTAAGATTTATTTGGTTATTTTTAGAATAATTTAAATTAGGATTTTTAATTAAAACAGCACTACTTTGCTTATATAGTTGTTTTTATATATTAAAAAGTAATTATTTTTGCCACTTTAATAGAACGTGACTCTGGCTTGGTTAACCTTAGTTGTGACTCTGGTTGGGACGGTGCTAGCAGATATAGTCGACGGTAGGTTTGGATGGACACCATG